TTGCCAGGCTCTGCCGTGCGGGCGAGATACTCTCGGTAGCTTGCCGGGCTCTCCGAGAGGGGCAGAGGAATCGAACTCGGGTCGGCCATGTTGTCTGCGTGCAAGGCAAACGCCGTACCGCTGTGCTAACAGACCCAAAGAAGCTCCAGCAGGAACAAAAGGCCAGGAAAAGAATTTCAAAGAAGACCATCACCACTCCCATCCTCCCTGGTAACCTCCTTAGCAATGGACTTTCACCTGGGAAGAAGCCCCACCTGGGGGCAGGTTGGAGAAACCCTATAAAGGCCACCTTGAACAAAGAAAGGGCGCGCATATGCTGCCTGAGCCCATGTGTGCTTATGCCCACGTGGCCGAGCACATGTGGTGCCCGACCCATGTGTCGCCCACATCTCCCCTCCTGAGATGTGTACTTTCATGCTTTCATGTCTAATGCTAGGATGTGTGTAGGGTCTCTCTCTCCACCCTTGGAGAAGCCCGTGTTCTCTCTTGAGTATATTACTCTCTCACTCTCTCTCCCTCCATACCTAAAAATCCTCCAAATAAAATCTATTTATTTCACTCCTTGTCTACTTATTTCACTGCTTGTCTACTCCTGAAATTCCTTTCTGCGAGGCGAGACAAGAACCCAGTAAGCCTGGGTCCCGGGTGGCAGAGGCAGTTGGGGAAAAAGTGGCCATCTCTCTCCTCCCCGCTTCACATAAGTCACCCGTGGGGCCCACCGACATCAAATCCATTCCTGGATGTCTCATACTTTACACCACTAATATTCCAAGAGTAGCATACCACGTTTGATCAGTTTAGAGTAGAAGGCAACCAAGCCTTAGGGGTAAAGATATATTCAGATATATAGATATAGATGTAAACACACAAGGCTCAACATTTAACAACATGTTACTAATCTCTGACAGAAGGACTTAATGGCTTCTGGATGAAATACAACAATCTTCACACACTTTCCTCTAAAGAAACCTTTTTTGGATCATTTTTAGTGGATTATTCATAACAATACAAAATATATTATTTCGGTTCTTTTTGGGGGCCAAGGGTTGGGGTTTGAGATGGAACTATCTGAAATATGGTGGTGGGAAGGTGTAATGGTGGTGGGATTGGTGTTTGAATATTAAATGTAATTAAATATTGTGAACTACTTTATAAAAATAAAATAAAATTATAAAAAATAAATAAACAGGTAAAAATAGGAGCTGGAGCAATAGCACAGCGGGTAGGGCATTTGCCTCGCATGCTGCCAACCTGGGTTAGATCCCCCACATCCCATATGGTCCCCCAAGCACCACCAGGAGTAATTCCTGAGTGCAGAGCCAGGAATATCCCCTGAGCATTGCTGGGTGTGACCCCAAAAGTAAATAAATAAATAAATAAATAAAAATAGATAAAAATAAAAACCCTAAACAAGCAGATTATTCCGGTTCCCCTGTCTTGTCTCCCCTGCAAAACTACACCTGGCCTTTCCTGGCCTTTGAGAACACAGAGGCTGGGCATGTAGGAAACCAGGTTCTCTACCGCAGAGGTCCTGTAATACTAAACACCCTCTTCTCTGATGCTCCAGTGGCCTCCACTTCTACAAAGAGTGTCCAATGGATGGTCTCCTCCTCCTGTGGGGACTTCACCCCAATGGCCCATGCGACCCCATCAACACTTAGTCCAAAGTTTATGGCTTGCTACTGCCACCTTGCGGCCATGTACGTCCTTGTTCACAACTGAAACCCTTTAACAACCTCCTTCTTCCTGGGGAAAACTGCAAGCCAGAACTGCACTGGATAGAGAATTTCTGGGATGCAGCCTGGCCTCCCTGGGATAGGGAAGGAGTAGGTCTCAGAAGAGGGAAACTGTCATGCCACTTTGGCCAATGACAACCAGCATGCCTGTCTGTCTCCCCACACACGCAGTTCCTTTTTTTTTTTAAATTGATTCCTAGGTATTTAATGATTGTGGGAGTTGTTTTGGATATAATAATCTTTTTCATTTCCACCTCACTATTTGAAGTTAGAAATACAACAGATTTTAGGGTGTTGATTTGGAGCTTTTCTCCTTTGTGGTACTGGTTTATTGCTTCTAAAAGTTTTGTAAGGGATTTATGTGTGTACACATATACATATATGTGTGTGTACACACATATGCATAAAATCATGTCACATGCAAATGGAGATAGTGTGACTTCCCTTTTTCAAATTTAGATCCCATTCATTTCTTCGGCTTGCTTAATTATATTTCCGTGAAGGGACACACACTCTATTTAGAATAATAGTAGTGAAAGTGAGCATGAGTGCCTTGTGTCTGATCTCAAAGGAAAGACTTTCTATTAAAAATATGGAGATGTTGGAGCGATAGCACAGTGGGTAGGGCATTTGCCTTGCACGTGGCCAAACGGGGTTCAATTCCCACCATCCCATATAGTCCCCTGAGCACCGCCAGGGGTAATTCCTGAGTGCATGAGCCAGGAGTGCATCACCTGTGCATCACCTGTGCATCACCAAGTGTGACCCAAAAAGCAAAATAAAATAAAATTAAAAATAAATCACTTGATCACTTGACTTCCCATTAATCGTCGATTTGTTCAAGCGGGCACCAGTAAGGTCTCCATTTGTCCCTTTCACGTGCTAGTGTAGCCCAGTGGCATCTGTTTGTTCTAGGAACACAAAGAGCCTCAAACCGATTGTTCAAGATCTTGAGGAAGAAGTCCGACCATCTGGTAGGTGGGTGGCCACGCAGTCTTTTGACGTCCCGTGGAATCCAGTTGGTAATGGCTCTAGTCCAGCGGTCATCTCCAAATCTGATTACGTGTCCAACCCATCTAAGTTTCGACGTCTTGGCAAACAAGACAGCGTCCCTGATTCTTGATCGTCGACAGAGGTGGAAACTCCGGATTCTTTCTCTCATTTGAGTGAAACGTGGTACTCCAAGCATGTCTTTTTGATTCCTCTTTGGGAGACCCGAATAGAATAATGTTCTCATCCTGTTTGCATAGGGCACAGGTCTCTGAGGCATATGTTAATGCAGGAAGAACAGTGGAAAAAAAGAGATGTGCCCAGAGCTGGAGGTTCTTCATCCTCTTAGCTATTTCTTCGACACTCTTGAAGGCATTCCATTCTGCTCTCTTCCTCCTGTGCAACTCAGGTGCTAAATCACTCATCATGTTGACTTCTCGACCTAGGTACACATAACTGTTGCATTCAGAGATGGCCATTCCGTTGAGAGAAAATGGAGCATCAGGAACAAGGCTATTTCTCGTAAACATTGTCTTCGTAAGATTCAGCTGTAGTCCGACCTTTCCACACTCACGGTCAAAGTAGGCCAGAAATTCTGGCCACTTGGCTAATGTTTGGTGTTATTAGAACAATGTCATCAGCAAAGAGGAGGTGGTGTAGTTGCCGACCATCTATCTTCACTCCCATTCCTTCCCATTCCAGTAGTCGCATGATGTTCTCGAGGGTGGCACTGAAGAGTTTTGGTGAAATGTTATCGCCCTGCTGAATCCCTCTCTTGACATCGATGATTATCTCTTTGTAGAATGGTGAGATCCTGGTAGTGAATCCATAATACAGCTAACGGAGGATCCTGATGTTTGAATCCTGAGTTTGAATGCCCTGATTGGCTAGGGCTTTAATGACCACTTCCGTCTCAACAGAATCAAAGGCCCTCTTTAAATCAATGAACATTAGACAGAGTGGCATCTTGAACTCCCGAGAAACCTCAATGAGCTTGGTTATTGTGTGGATATGGTCGATGGTGCTGAGTCCTTTGCGGTACCTGGCTTGCTCTCATGGTTGTCCTTCATCTAGTGTTCTGCCATTCCTATTCAGGATGACTTGAGTGAACAGCTTGTAGATGACAGACAATAGGCAGATTGGGCAATAGTTGCCAATGTCGTGGATATCTCCCTTCTTGTACAGTAGTGTAGTCCTGCTGGTTTTCCACTAGGACGGAACCTTGCATTCAGACAGGTAGCGTGTGAAGAGCTGAGCCAGCGTATTTATGAGTACTGATGGCAGGTTCTTCAGGTGTTCAGATCTGACCTTGTCTGGGCCAGGTGTTGCTCCTTTCTTTACCGACAAAATGGAGTGTTGGATTTCAGAAGGGAGAACGTTGGGAACGACATATCCATCCTGTGGAATTTGGTATGTGGGCTGGTGGACGTGGCTATTGAAGAGATCTGAGTAGAAGTCATGGATAATCTTCTCCATTGCCCTTCTGGAAGACGTGATAGATCCATCAGGACTTTGGAGGGCAGTCATCTTGGTCTTGTAGTTGGCGAAGGACAGGCGGAAGTTATGAATGCTTTTCCCAGCTTCTGCCTCATCTACCAACACTTCTGCTCTTCTCTCTTTGAGGTCTTCCTTGATCACATCTCTGCACTGCTTTGTGAGCTCAGAAGTTCACTTGCGGTTGCCTGAGGCATGCGCCAAACCACTTTGGTGAATAAGCTCAAGAGTTTTCGAAGGCAGGCATTTTTTTGTGTCTATTGGTGTTCCTCACACAATCATGGAGATGCTGAACCAGTTGATCGTATTCCTAGTCAATATTGTCAACAATGGCATCTTCCCATGTTGCAGCAATAGTGCCAAAGAGCTCCCAGTTGATGGTCATTCTGGGAGTTCTCTTCTCAAACTTTGCAGCCCTTTCTCCCCGCTCTGTGAAGTAGAATTTTGTACGAAGGAGACAGTGGTCCGATCCCATTTGGAATTTTGGGACAACAGCAACATCAGTCAGGCAAAACCATCGATTGAATATGATGTGGTCTATTTCATTGTGGAACCATCCACTGGGAGACTCCAATATCCAACATTTAGATTCGGCCTCCTGGAACTGTGAGTTACCACGGATGGTCTTGGTCGACATAATGAACTCAGACAGTCTCTCACCCTATTCGTTCCATTCTAGGCCATGGGTCCCAATGTGGAGTTCTTCGGCTGATCTTCTGAGTCCTATCTTGACATTAAAATCACTGACAATGATCTTGTAGAAGGTATAAATAAATAAATTAAAATATAGAATGCTTCACAAATTTGCGTGTCATCCTTGCGCAGCGTTCATGCTAAATCTTCTATCATTCCAATTTTACTATATGTGCTGCTGAAGTGAGCTCACCCAGGTAGTTCTACCACTATATCTCAGCACAAGGCCTTGCTTACAGCCTGGGAGGTTCAACTTACACTTCTCCCATATAGAACAAACCATTTGGAGTTGAGCCAACGGTTAGATTACATACGGAAGTCTTGGGTTCGATGCCCAGCACCACATGGTCCCCAAGCATTGCCATGAACGACCCCTGAATAGTGAGCAGAAATAGATCCAGAATATCGGGGATGCTCACCCAGATGTATATATATAATCAATCATTAGCTGTTTGTGACATTCATATCTTCTCATTAAAGCTGAGCTCATAGTTTATTAACAGTTCACAGGCAATGCTCTGAGAGATAAAGGGCTGAAAGGCTGCATGGGTAATAATGACAGAATATTGGGCATGTTGGCAGTGGACATTGAGAGTTAATATTGTACCCCTAAAACATGCAATTATTTACACTGAGCCTAGAGGTACAACTTGGTAGGACAGGGGTGGGGGCAGCCACAGGAGGTGAACAAGGTCAGAGAAAGCCCAGGTCAGAGAACTGGCTAAGGGAATTGCCTTCTCTCCCCAGAAAACCCTTCCAGACCTGGTCTTGAATCCTGTTCCAGCACCTTCCTTTGTTCTCCAGGTAGACAAAACCCAGTTCTCCCCCCAGGCATGCAGTGAGGTCTCTCTCTTTTCTGTCTACTTTGTTTCCTATCCTGAGCTGCTGACTCTGAGCATGCAAGACCTGAGAAGCTTCCTCTTTTAGGTGGGGTCTCTGCTTCATCTCCTCAATCTCTTCAGTCTGGGATCCACAAGACTCCAAGCCCTGCACTGCCAGTTTCAGCAGGGCCCAGACTGTCTATTGTCAACTTTTTCGTGGATGTCTTCTTCCAACCCCTCCAGGCTTCAATGCCTGTACACACACAAACGTATATATAGGAACATACTGATGATCAGCACACGAGAGCACATGCACACACATAACCCATGTGACCATACGTGAATGCTTTGTATGTATGGCACAGGTACTCGCACAATACCATGGGAAGAACCAGTGCAACTTTCTGAGCAATGCACCAGGAGACAGAGGATGGTTCCTCAGGGCTTAGAACCTCCAGGTGAAAGTGTATAGTCTGGGTACTTCTCCTCCTACTTCTCCATCCACTGGGACCCTTGGTACAAGCATAGTAGGGCAGAAGTTGATGACCAGGTCTTGCTTGTGACGTCTGAAACTTTCCCTAAGAGACTCAGACCATCTCCAGAGTTTGTTGCTGGTTTCATCATTCCTTCTCCTCTGCAGGAAGGAGTTGATGACCAGGTATAAAATTGGGAGAGACTAGGGAGAGGTAGTGGGAAAAAAAGAGTCCTTATCCAGTTTACTTATTCTGCCACAAGAGAGAAATAAGGAATAAGAGGAGAACAGAGCATGGGCCCCTGTGTTGTGGTACAGTTACCCTTTTATACAGTTGGCCACTAGTCTGGAAACATCCTCAACTCTGACTTACTTACAAATGCACTGAAATACAGCAGGGAAGAGGGGCAGAGTGTTCATCTTGCACTACCATGTTCCAAGGTACACACAAGCAAATGACCGAAAGATCTTCAAAAGAGAGTTGTGGATAGCAGTGGGAGGCTTTGAATAGAGTGTGGATAACCACAACCTCAGCACAGGCCTAGGAACATTTCTGAGCTTCCTCTCCTCCATATCAGTGCCAGCACCCTATTCTGGTCCCCAAAACACAGACTTAGTAGAAGAGAGGGCACTCACTGCTGAGACGACAACTCTAGTTGGGAATCTAGTCTGGCTCAAATAGGCTGCAGATGAAACTCCAAAGAGACCGAGTGCAGGTCTCCTTTCAGGACAGGTAGAGTTAGAGGATATCACCTTGTGTACAGAGTTTGTGTTTTTCTTTTATTTTTCCTTTTCTATTTTTTTCCCCCAGAAAAGCTTGTGCCTACTTATGAAAGCAACAGTGGGCATGAGCGGTGAGTGTGCACATACATACAGTGAATGTATATTGCATGTATACATGTTTTCAATATGACGGGAGGCCATCACACAGAGAGTCTTTTAGACTGGTAATTTTAAAAAAAAAAGATATATGGGTCAAGGAGGCCATCACTGGATAATCTTCACTAACCAGTTCTGTCCATCAGAAGGCATCAGGTAGGTCCTGATTAGTACAGAGCTTTCTGTAAGACTCCATCTTGACCCAATCAAAGCCAAAAGGTAGATTCTTCCAGAGAGAGCTGTCACATCATCCCAGATAAAAGCCTCAGGATTTTTTTCCTGCTTTTGCTTACACTGGAGCCTGAGCAACAGTACAATATAGGGAACTTGCCTTACCTGCTATCAATCTGGGTTTGATCCCTGGTACCCCTATGGTCCCCTGAGCCCCTCCAGGACTGATCCTTGAGCACCTTCAGGTGCATCCCCAACCCCCCTTCCCCCAAATAAACAATAACAACTAGATCACTCTAGTTGAAATATTGAAACTCCCTGACTAGCATCCAAGGACTCTGAGGTTCAATCCTCTTCGCCTTTCTCAGAGATTGATTTTTATTGTTGTTTAAAATTCCCACAAGTCCACTTAACCCAATCCTCTGTTTGGAGGTTCAGTCTTTCTCCTGCTCATTAGAGGCACTCAAGTTCCCCTACTTTAATCTCTTCCCTTTTTATGGTGAGAACTGGGCAGCGAGGTTGCAGAGGGGCAGCCTGGGAGCCAACTGGCACAGCTCCAAGGCCCGCAGAGGAAATGCCAGGAGTCTCAAGTCTGTAACTCAGGCCGTCAGGCAGGGTGTGTGGGCTTTCCCCACCACCCACCACCCACCCCCAGGACTCTTGGAGGAGAGGCGGGTAGTACTTGCAGGAGAAACGCAAAAGTCGGGGCCTTTTCAACAGAGTACTCCTGCCCTGAGGAGAAAACAGAAAAGGAGATGTGTGTGATGTGTGTGTGTGTGTGTGTGTGTGTGAGAGAGAGAGAGAGAGAGAGAGAGAGAGAGAGAGAGGGAGGGAGAGAGAGAGAGAAGAGTAAAAGAAGCTCACTTGGACAGAAGTTCCAGTGACCAGTACAGAGATGCACTGGAAATCCTAAAGTCTCAGAGGCACCTTTGGAAACCCACATTGCAACCAAAGATCAAGGTAGTTTAAGAAACACAGTCGGGGCTGGAGCAATCGTACAGAGCGTAGGGCATTTGCCTTGAACTCGGCCTACCTGGGTTTGATTCTCAGCACCCCATATGGTCCCCCGAGCACCACCAGGAGTAATTCTTGAGTGCAGAGCCAGGAGTAGTCCTTGTGCATCGCTGTGTGTGACCCAAAAAGCAAAATAAATAAATTAATTATTAATAAGTAGAGAGAGAGAGAGTCAAAGGAGCCTAGAAAAGAGACTGGCCAGAACTCAGCCATCTCCTGTTGATCTCATTCATCTCAGATCATGCACTCTCAGAGTCAGGAGGTCCCTAGAGTGTGAGGTTACCTGCACCTATCCCTGTGCTTTGGAGACACCTCTCTGGCGCAGAGGACTGATTGCCCCTGTTTGGACATTCTTGCAGACGTAGAAGGAGATGCTTTGCATTTGCCTTACAAGGTTGGCAGGTTGAGCCTCCACTCAACATGCCAACATGCCAAACCTTCTTAGCTTCCCCACTCAGCCTTATAGGAACAAGCCCCTCCAGAGCCCTCGGACCTCTGCTCCTCTCCGCTCTGGGGAGGGAAGATAGTCCTGGTCGCCAAGACTATCAGTGGCTCCAACAGCACCTCCCCTTGCTCTGGTCTGAACTCAGCCCTGAACACTCTGCTATCACCATCAGGATTAAACATCTACACGAAATTAGAGCTGTGGTCCCAAACCCCACCAGGGCACAGTTTTCTCTCTTTATGGAACTTGCAAACCCCTGCAGAGGAGAAGGAATGATGAAACCAGCAGCAAACTCTGGAGCTGGTCTGAGTCTCTTAGGGAAAGTTTCAGACTTCACAAGCAAGACGGAAGTGCACACAATAGGGACTGTTGGCCCCACCTCGTCCACCTGTGCTTGTCAGAGCATTTACTTGGGTGTCAGTTTCTGTCTCTGGCCACGAAGAATCATGAGCCTCACTGTTCGAGCCAGCTAAGTGAGTGGACGCCCCCCAACTCCCAGACACACAAAAGCAGCCTACAGAAATAAAATGATTATGGGTGGCAGTGCTTTCAGAAAGTGATGGAACATGGGGACTACTATATATGAGGCAGGGGGTCAATGCTAGGGAGAAAACAATGGAGCTGGCCCTGCAGGAGCCAGCTAGACTAAAGGAGACTCTAAATAAGACCATAGTGTAACATGTAGTGTGTTCTGCCATAAGAGCTCCTAACGAGAGCTTTCAAGATCCCAACATCCAACCCATACCCCAGCCCAATGTCTTTTTCCCACACTCAAGGCCCCCACGGAGACTTAAGATACAAGATATCAGGACTAGAGACATAGCACAGAAAGTATGGCACTTTCCTTGCACAGAGCAGACCTGGGTTCAATCCTCAGCCCTGCCAGGACTGATCCCTAAGTACAGAGCCAGGAACAATTCTTAAGCATAGCCAGGTATGGCCCCCGAAAGCAAGAAAAGGATTTGGTGTGGAAGGCAGCACAGTGTCACATACCTAGCTTGCACCTAACTGGGTCCAGTTCCCTGGCACCATATGGCCTCCCAGCATGGACAGGTGCAGCCCGGAGGTCCCTGGCACCACCTGGTGGAGATCTGGAAGGCCACAGCTCTACCAGGGAGGCGCAGAAATCCCGGCTCTGCACAGCCCACGGGACCTTGCCTTGAATTGTGACCTGGTTGATGGAGAATCGCTGACGGGTCCCCTGGGTCTCCTGAGAATCCTTTGGGAGCCCTCACCTCCAAAATAATAATGATATAATAATAATAATAATAATAAATGCAAATACAAGCACAAAATCCAAGTACCTTTGTGAGGGACAGGCCCAAAATGGACCACCACCAGAATTAATTTGGCTTAGCTTAACAGGAACCTGCATTGCAGAATAACTGG